GTCGTCGACGATTTTGATAGTCGACGTAATCGTGACTAGTCGACTAATCGTGGCAGCCCTACCGAGCTGTAGTCGATGAAGAGCATTCTTGCATATGTATTCCCTTTTTCCAGGTGAGTGAGGGAGGTGTGCATTGCCAGGGCGATGGCATCCTCTGTGGCTCTGTTTGTCCGATAGGAGAACTGAAGAGGGCCCAGTATGTCAGGGAGGGAGGAGCAGATATGACCTTTGACCAGCCGCTCGAGCCACTTCATGATGACGGATGTCAGTGCAACAGGACTGTACTCATTCAGACAGGAGACCACAGATTTCTTAGGAACGGGAATGATGGTGGATGTTTTGAGAGACGCGGGGACCACTGACTGCCTCAGGGAGAGGTTGAAGATGTTGGTGGACACCTCTGCCAGCTGGTCAGCGCACACTCTGAGAGGCCGGCCTGGGATGCCGTCCGGTCCCGGAGCTTTGTGAGGATTGACCCTTTTGAAAGACCATCTCACAGCTTCTGTTTTGAGAGTTAGTTACAGCCTCACTGTCCTCATGAGGGTAGAGGATCTGCTCTCTGTTGTCTGCATCAAAACGAACATAGAAGTTGTTAAGCTCGTCTGCAGCTTAACAACTTCTCGTCCAAATTCCCCGGAATTTGGATATATGCGGACGGTGGTTTTAGTGATGGTATCGTCCATGCATTTTCCAATATATCCAATGACAGAGTCTGTGAGTTCATTGATGTTGCCATCAGCTGCATCCACAAATATCTGCCAGTCAGTTGTGTCAAAGCAGTCCTGCAGGACCTCCTCAGCCTCACTGTCCCGTTTGTAGATGACCCTGGACGCTGGTTTTACCTGTTTCAGCCTTTGTCTGTATGCAGGCAGCAGCAGCAGGAACAATGGTCTGCCTTACCAAAAGCTGGGTCTCCCAGCTCAATAAAGGCAGCGTCAGGATTTTAATTCTCAGGTCCAATAATGATGTCATACAGTTCGTCCACAGCCGAAGCTTTATCAGCGTGTGGGGGAATGTAAACAGCTGAGAGGAGAACTGAGCTGAACTCCCTCGGGAGGTAAAAAGGCCTGACTTTAATGGTCAGCAGCTCGAGGCTCTGAGAGCAGTAAGTTTTTAAGATACACACATCTCTGTCCCACAAAGAGTTAACCATAAAGCACACCCCTACTCCCCTTTTCTTGCCTGAGTCCTTCGTTCGGTGAATCCATTCAGCGTGACTGTGCGGTCGGGGACGCTGGGCTCCAGCCATGTCTCCGTGAAGGCCAGAACGCAGCAGTTCCTGATGTCTTTTGGGTGTTTAATCCGTGCAGGCGGCTCGTCAAGTTTGTTGCCCAGAGACTGGAGATGTGCGAGCAGGATGCTGGGCAGACTTGGCTTGCCATTTCTCTGTCGGGATCAGCTCAAAACTCTGGCGCGTTTCCCACTCTTTGTTTTCCCACGGCGTCGCGCAAGTAAACGAAGGATCCCAGGCATCCACGGTGTCGAAACCTGCTGTAAAGTCCGAACTGGCTGACGAACATGGCTCCAAAAGCGTTTGTCTGTCATACCGAGTATATGATCGCGCTGTGCGCACAGAAATAGACAGCAGTACAAAATAAACAATAACATTTTTGCTGAGATGACTGGGAGCTCTCGGCCGCCATCTTACGGCACAACCGGAAGCCAAGTTCCTCGATTGCTTTAAAGCTTTGTGCTGTTGACTTTGTTTATACCTGTTGTTAGCTAGGATTTGTGTTGGTGTGTAGCCTGTAGGTTTATATTGTTAAATGTTAATTATGAGAATTATATATCACATATTCTGTGTGAGACATTATTTTTGACACACTGATCACAAGGAGGTGAAATACCTTCAACATTCACAAACATTTGACCACACAGCACGCAATTTATTTGCAGGAATGTGGAACACATTGCACGGAAGTGACCTATTTGTCTGTTTGCACAGGAAACATTGACGGGGAAATATGGAGAAGATTCCAAGCTCATCTACGATCTCAAAGACCAAGGAGGAGAGCTGCTGTCCCTCAGATATGACCTCACTGTATCCTTTAAATAGACACAGCCAACTGTACTGTTCTCATTCATGCGTTTCCACAAAAATGTTAGAAAGGATTAAAAGAGTGGTGGTACTTTAGACTGAGCATTCAGCAGAGAGTCAGAATACGCAGTTAAATGAACGGGGCTTCTCATTAACCAAGTGCAGCTTGTGAAAAGGTTACATTGTCATGAAAGTAGCAATACATTGTTACACTGTGGTGTTGTTATTCTTGACCCGCCCTCTTTCAGGTACCATTTGCCCGCTACCTGGCCATGAACAAGATAACCAACATCAAGCGTTATCACATTGCTAAGGTCTATCGTCGTGACAACCCAGCCATGACCCGGGGACGTTACAGAGAGTTTTATCAGTGTGTAAGTCAACTGCAGATGGCATGGACTGAGTTCTTTTTCATAGCATTAATTTTGTCTCACTATGGGAATATCTACTCTGTCACCTCATCAGAAGGTCAAATATCACAGCTCCCTATAGGCTGGCTCAGTGATGCCTATGTGAGGAGGGGCGAGGGGTCCCCTATATAATCTTGATTCAAGCAGAAGCCGTTGACAGCCCTGCTGTTTGTGCTAAACTGACACTGTCCATGAATTTTAGTGCAGAACGCTCTGTTCCCTACATGCCAGTGTATAGTAGCTCACAAGCAGTAGCAATACAGTCCTGTAGGTAGTCCGGGTGTTTGGTAGCAATGCTTTTACTCCAAAGCATCGTAGCAACACTTTACTAATAAGGCGCTGCCAGCATCACCAACAGGAAGCATTCACGCGTTCAACACTCATTAGCAACAGCGCTTAATGTAGAAACTGCCCAATATGCAGCAAAACCTCCAGAAAAGTAGCACTACCTTTCACTGCTAGGATTCAAAGTCCACTAGCTACACGAGGCTACAGCTAGCTACACGAGGCTACAGCTAGCTACACGAGGCTACAGCTAGCTACACGAGGCTACAGCTAGCTACCCGAGGCTACAGCTAGTATCACTACCCGATCCGTACTGGAAACCCGATCGGTACCCGCATGCGCAAATCTTACGTCACTTCCTCTCTTTGCCAACATTGCGACATTCAATATATTTGAATGATACGGTTAGCGCCCAGTTAGCTCCTAGCATTTCTCAGCAGCTCTGCCTCCTTTTCGACTACC